CCCCCCCCCCTCCCCTTCTCCTAAACGCAGTCGTATAGAGTTGACAGCTTTCGTATAGCAAAACGGAACAAGAAGCAAAGTATGACTGGTTACTAGGAGGGAGAGCAGGAACGTGAGCTGAGTGTTGTAGCCGGGAAGTGGCAATGCATAGCCTCCCTGTAGCGATAAGGAGCCTTGGAAGTGGCGATGCATAGCCTAGCTATAGTGATAGGAAAGCCTAGAAGTGGCGCTGTAGCCTAGAGGCTATAACGGCTACTTATAGCATGCTAAGGGCCTGGAAGCCCTCTATATAGCGCACTTCCCACTGTAGAACAGCAGTCAATTCAAGATCCTTCCCCCGAAAAATAACAGTGAGAAACCTGACCTGAGCACAGGGTGAGGCGAGAATGAGTAGCGCCTAAGTATAGCGGCGACGCTGACTAACGGCGTTGGAAGCGAAGTCGAATCGGTTTCGGCGCAGATTACCCAAGAAATCCAGCCCCCCCACCTCCTTTCCGCTTGTTCACCTTCCTCACTTAGTATGTAAGTACTTGCTAAATTACCTTTACTGATGCAACTCAACTGTGTCGTTATTATTCATATGCCCGGAGTCGAAGCCGAGCGGCTCAATTATCAACTGGCTTCCAATTCGTGTGAAAGCGGCGAGAGCATCAAGTGGCTTTTGGCAGAGGTTAGAATTGTTGTGATATTTTACTCCTGCTCTGAATCCTACTACTGCCAGGCTGCTGACTTGGCACCATTTTGATATGTACATAGTTACAAAAATCTCTTACTCCTTGGTAGGTATAGTTATATCTTGCATCCCTATATCCTCTAGCTTCTCCTCATTATCCGGGTTCTGGGACTCAATCATAGCGACCGTCCGCTTATCTTGCATCCATACAATACCGATCCATAGAATCAGAAGAACGGCAATGCACACCATCGCAATGGTACCTCTGTGGAAACCCTGTTGAGAAGTTAGTATGTACGCTGCCATAAGCTAGAGCATGGTGCTTGCTTACTTTCTTAGCATCTGTAGCGGGGTAGAGAACAATTCCCCAGAATGAGAATAAGACAGAAGAGGCGCCTAAAACAACAAGCGTTAGTTGGGATACAATTTAAGAAATAGCAGAGTGGTGAGGAGTGGCATACCATTCATGGAGTATAAGATGACGGCACGCGAGGCGTCGTCGTTTTCACGCACGAGGATTTGAGTAGCCCAGGCAAAACACACTGGTTGGATTGCGTATGCCGTGGCAGCGAGATCTTGAACGTACACTACAGTCAGCTTTCAGGTCGTCCCTTGGCAGCAAGCATCAAGCATTGAGAAAGAGTGAGGGAGAGGGTGTCGGCGTGGCGACTTACAGTAAGCGCCCATTTTTGCTCCATTGCCAATGTGTTCCCAGCACAGCAGAATGATGCAAGCAACGATCTGAAGCACGCAGGTGATAATACCCCACGGTGCGTGCTTTCCGGTGGCATCAATCGCGATGGATGTGAGGAGTGTGAGCACAATTCCGATGGCGTAGAGGCCTAGAGGATAGTCGTTGTTCTGGGGAACTGTGAATTTTTTGGTTGATTTCATCCATAGTAGCATGCAGCTTTGGGTGTTGAACGCCTCAAGAGCGCCGCCAATAACCCAGAATAAGGTAAATATCCAACTTTAGAAAGTTAGACTGAGTTTGTATTGGGGCTTGTATATAACGGTTACTCACAAATTCAGGTTCAATAGAACTCTCTTGATGATTGAGAATCCAATCTTGTGACCTTCAGGGTTCTTGGGCGGTAGCCTGCTAAGTGCAAGAGCTTTCTCCTCTACTGAAAAGTATGGTGCCTTTGTAGTCTCGGGAAGATCAGGGAAAGAAAAAAATCCAAAGATTGCAATTGGCAGCGTGATGATACCGTCAATGATGAAAACCTTCACACTGGTTAGCAATTCTAAACCCACACTTTAGGAGTAAATTTCACTCACCCACTTCCACCCTGGTAAGCCTGCATGGCCATTCATGGTCTTGTAGATGGCAGTCATCATCAGGCCAGCAAACATAGTCCCAGCCATACCAGAAGCAGCGAAAAGACCAATACGCTTGCCGACCTCTTGCGGTTTGTACCACGATCCGATTATGTATTGTGTGCCGCTGTATGTCGAGGCTTCGATCATGCCTTGGAAGAATCGTAGTGCCGCTAGTTGCGTAAAGTTATGCGTGGCAGCAGTACACATTGTGAGACCGGCCCATATTAGCGTCATGAGGGGAAACCAGATGCGCGGTGCAACTACTTGGATGGCTAAAGCGTGAGGAACCTGTCCAATGATATCTGGAAGAAGGCATATGGGTCAGTGTTATGGTAGGGTTGAAAGGGAATGATATTAATCTTACAGCCAACTGACAAGCAGGTAACAAGATCATTATACTGATTCCCTACGAGTCCCACATCCTCTTTGAGACCAGACACATATGCATTCGCTAGTGCTGCACGGTCTGTCGGTCTTGACTTAGCAATATGTTTACCTCAGAAAAAGGCATATTTGACTACTGACCTAGGTAGTTGAAAAAGAATGAAAGACAGCAGTATGTCTGTTATTTACTTTAGTACGCATGGTCTAGAGCTCTTTGTCCAGGAGTCTATCTTTGCTCACCAGAATGAAAAAGTCGATTTTTCGCACAAGCTAAGTTTAGAAGTAAGTCGTAAGCTTATTGTTTATGGGAAGCTCTGCTTACCTTTCGTTCTGCGGCAGTTTCTGCAGGCTCACCCCACACCAAAACTCGCAAATCATAGAGTTTACCCATATTTGATGGCTACAGATATGATCTAGGGGAGTTGATGGAGAATTGATAGCGGTCGTGAAGTATTTGCAGAGGTAGGTTGAAAGCAGAACGTTTCAGAGGTCATCGTTTACATGAAGTACTTTTTCTGCTTTGATACAGACATCTATCTAAAATGGAGTATGGAGATAGATTAAAGTTCTAGAATGCGTAAAATGGGGTCCCAAGATAAGGAAATGATCAAGCGGCTGAAAGTATCATACCATATCATACGTTTCTAGCGCTGACTTCCATCCTTGCTAGTGCGTCTCCCACTATTAACAGATTTTAGCCTTACCCATGCCACGGGAACGTTGGACTAGGGTGGGTAACAATCCCATGTATCAAAAATTCAAGCATTGGCAGAACTAGTAACAAGTCCATGAGGATGCGAACGTTCTGTTCTCCTCCGAGGAAAGGTGGTTCCTTCTGTATTTTTTAGTCTCGTGATGAATAACATACATTGACAAAGCTTACCAGGGATCAGCCTTCCAATCCTATTTATTTTCTAGTCTTTGCTTTGAGTTCAATACCCTTCAAGTATTTGTCTTCTGTATGTGTATTGTGGTTCAAAATGGCTTTCACTCCACCATCATCCCCGCCATCGCCGCTCGACCTTGGTTGCCTCCAAACCGAGCTTCAAAATGCCAACACTTCAGATATTGATAGGGTATCCACGCTGGAAATGTGTGGTATATTGTTTTTCCACTTCCAAGCACCTAGCCGGAGCTAATTCTTCTGAAGAGATAATCAACAGAGAAGATGCCAAAATTGCCAGCGCTGTACAAAGGTGCCTCCCTGAAGTTGCGATGATAATCGATTTGATGGCTCCCAAAGTTCTGGAAGGAGGGAGAGTTATCTACATAGGGGCCGGGACAAGCGGCAGGTGAGACCTCCAAGTTCTGTATACTGAATTCGTACTGATTCTCCACAGGTTGGGTGTTTTAGATGCTTCGGAAATGTATGTTTCCAATGACTTTCCATTCGTTCCTGCTGTAACTCAATATTTAGTCCTCCGACCTTCTCCGCACCTTATTCGCAATTTATAGGCCTGATGGCAGGAGGCGATGTAGCTATTAGGAAAGCTGTGGAAGGAGCTGAAGACTCGGAAACCTTACCCGTCGAAGATCTCTCCTCGATAACGCCGCCTCTGGACCCTCGCCTTGATACCGTGATCGGGATTGCATCTTCGGGGAGGACTCCATACGTGCTCGCAGGGCTGAAGTATGCCAAAAACCTTGGGTGTCTATCAGTAGGTATCGCATGTGTTAGTCCCAGCGCCATGCGAGGCTGCTGCGAATCTTTGATTGAATGTGTCACGGGGAGCGAAGTTGTGACTGGGAGCACACGATTAAAGGCAGGCACTGCGACAAAAATGGTGCGTAGTTTTCACATCTTCATATTCGTCAAACGCATGCTGATATGTATTTTTGTAGCTTCTGAACATGATATCCACTGGTGTGCAGATCAGAAATGGCAAGACTTATGGCAATCTGGTATGTTATATTCATTTTGCGGGTTGTGCATAGAATTAACTAATTCATCCGCTAGATGATTGATGTGAAGGCTTCAAACGAGAAATTAATCGACCGATCCCGACGGATCTTTCGCACTGCTCTACCCAAATCTCCATTCTATGATGTGTCTCGGGATGGAGTTGTTGATACCCTCATGGCTGCATGTGACGGTAGCCTCAAACTTGCTCTTGTCGTTGCCAAGCTAGGATGTACTCCAACTGAAGGGAAACATAGACTTGAAGCTGCAGGAGGGGCACTGAGAGAAGCTTGGGAACGAGGAGGATATTCAGCGCAAGCGTAACAATATGGATATCGCGCATGTGTTAACAAATCAGGGCCTCATGAATCAAGCCACGATCCCAAGATCGCGTTTCACTGTTGTGTAAGGAAACGTTCCAGTCCCAGGGTTGTCAAAGACAGCATTTGGGTCACTTCATTGCCATTGACATCAAGGTTGTGCCAGAAATCCGGGATATTCTTTCTCGGCCATCCCCAATTCATCTCACGTTGCTAGCGCACCCCATTAAGCAGACGTTGCTAGCGCCACTCGGCACCCCCACTGTGGCAATGTACCTCGTAATATCGCAGTAGGATCAACCATGGGTCGTATCTTTGCTTTCTGTCCACTTATGATATGTTGTTAGCATCTGCATCTAGGTGCATTTAATGATATGACACCTAAATATGATACTTAGATCTCAAGAGTGAAGCTTGCACTGGTTTCAAGGTGGGGATCTTAGATTTGTGCCTATTTAGGCTTAAGGCGTCGCATTGGCTGTCCACTACTTTCTACCTAGGAAGGCTGAGTTTACGACCCAGTAGCTTCATAACTTTTCACCTCTGATTATTAGATTCATGCACTGAGTCTTTTCACACGTGGCATTCTGAAACTTTAAAAAGCTTGAGTTTTTTAGGTTTCGTTGTATTCTGTTCTATGTTGCGTTCGAACCTTACATTGCCTATTCCTTTTCAAGCGAGTCAGTTCTAATCTAAAAGCCCCACCTGGATATCAGCTGGAAGTTATTACTGGAGTGCTTTGTTGGTTTCTTTCTTCACAGAGTCTTCATATAGAACAACACTTGCACACTGAAAATGGTGTCTTTGACGGTAGTAGGCCTGAATTCGGGCACAAGTATTGATGGTAAGTCTTTGCCTTTCTTTAGATGCCCCTCAACACATGCCTCGTCTTGGGATTTTCAGCTGATATTGAACCAGGCATTGATATTGCCTTGTGTCGCATAACTTCTATTCCCCACTCGTGCGATTTGGAGGTAGAACTTCTCAATTACACAGAAATTCCAGCAACAGCCTCTCTACGCTCCCGTATACTAGGTGTCGTCCGCCCTGGTGCAGCTACAACTCTGGAAGATGTATGCGATCTCAATTTTGCTCTTGGGGAAGAATTTGCATCAGCAGTGAATAAGTCAGGCATTGACCTAAGCAAAGTTGATCTCATTGCGAGCCATGGCCAGACCTTATGGCACATCCCATTTGGAGAGCGGCTTTCCACCCTGCAGATGGGCGAGCCTGCCGTGATATCAAAGAGCACAAATAAGTATGACTACCTCTGATGAACAATGAATGAGAAGCAACGAAAGAATGGCACTGATCGTTGGTGCTAGAACGGTCATATCTAGCTTTCGGACGGCAGAACTTGCTGTGGGGAGGCAGGGTGCACCTCTCTCGGGGTTCTTTGAAGCTGCGATCCTCGCGCACCCCTCTCAAACCCGAATCAGCCAGAATATTGGTGGAATTGGAAATGCAACTGTTGTCCCGTCTAGTAGAGTACCGGAATCCGGTTACTTTGCCTTTGATACTGGACCAGGAAATGTACTAATAGATGCCACCGTGCGTTACATATCTAAAGGAGAGGCGCACTATGACAAAGATGGGGAGATGGGGGCTAGAGGGGAAAGCGAAATAGACAAGGAAGCTGTAGAGGATTTCTTGAAACGAGACTACTTTGAGAGGAAGCCACCCAAGACAACGGGACGGGAGATGTTCAGTGATACCTTGGCTAAGGAGATCATAGACGAGATGCGAGGTAAAGGGATCAGCGACGATGGGATCGTCGCGGCCATTACCCGTATGACTGCAGAGTCCATCGTGCGCGCCTACGAGAACTTTGTGATACCAGTTGTAGGGCACATTGATGAGGTGTATATTTGTGGCGGGGGAGCTTTCAATCCGAATATCATGCGCCACTTGTCTGCGCGACTCCCAGGGACCAAAGTTGGAATTCTGGATAGCACAACTATTGGCATAAGTGCCGCAGCTAAGGAGGCTGTTTTATTTGCGGTGCTGGGATTTCTGGGCATGTGTGGGCGCAAGGTGGCTGTTGCTGATATGAGCGAGACCAGGCGGGAAGTCGTTCTGGGTTGTGTAACCCCGGGAGATAATTACAGGAGCTTGTTGCAGAAGGTAGCCCGTGATGAGGAATTTATGGGGGCGGGTACTCTGGGGAGAATCTTTATGAGATAATTCGATCAACCGCGCAACTGAAATGAAGTAATGAGTAACAGTGACTGGCGCCTTATATGCGGTATTTATATCTTTCATGTGACTTGGGAACCCCGTCTTTGAAAACTTGTACCGCATTGAAATCCAATCTAAGTCACGGGAAAAAGTGGGAAATTTATAGTCTCAAGATTCCACTTCTCTTGACGATAAGGACCTAAGGACCGACCTTTTCCACATCCATACAATTATATCCTGCGGTTGTCAAACCCTTACCAAACGTCCCCGTAATGGCTGCAGATACCTTAGACCCTGTCTGGAACGACATAGATCGGCAAGTTACAGCTATAAAAAGGTTTGTACGCTAAGTGCTACTCTAACATCTGCACAGGGTTGTGGGCCAGCAATTTATGCTTGGATGGGATGGTACACAAGTTACCCCCTCAATTCGCAAATTGATCGAAGAGCAACATATTGGATCAATCCTACTTACTGCAAAAAATCTCATTTGTGAATACACACCTAAAAGTCAGCGAACTAATATATGCTAACTCGCTTTAGCGGCTGAACAAACAATACGGCTTGTCCACGAACTGCAAACAATCGCATACGAGGCTGGCCATCCTGTACCTCTCTCCATCGCCCTAGACCAGGAGAATGGAGGAGTCAACAGCTTATGCGATGCGGACTCTATTACCCAGTTTCCGAGCGCCATGGGAGTTGCTGCTACTGGGTCGCCGGAGGTAGCGTTCCAGGTGGCGAAAGCTACAGCACTTGAGATTTCAGCAGCTGGAATAAATCTCATATTGGGGCCGGTCCTTGACGTGCTCACAAACGCACGCAGTCAACCACTTGGGGTTCGATCCACTGGCGACGACCCCAAAGTTGTCTCTCAATTTGGGGTATCGTATGTGAAGGGTTATAAAGAGGCTGGCATCGCTACATGTGGGAAACATTTCCCCTCCTATGGAAACTTGGAATTCATGGGTGCTGGAATAGGCTCCGGTACCCCAGTCATTACCGAAACACTGGAGCAATTGAGCATTAGTGCATTAATTCCATTCCGCAGCGCTATTGCTTCTGGATTAGATGCCATGATGGTTGGTGGATGTGCTTTAGTTGGCTCTGGAACAAATGTGATGCATGCTTGCCTTTCAGGGCAGGTCGTTGATGAGCTACTAAGAAAAGATCTCAACTTTCAGGGGGTTGTCATATCAGCCTGCCTAAGAATGGAAGCCCTTATTCAGAATATAGGGGTTGGTGGTGGGACTGTAATGGCTATCAGGGCAGGTTGTGACATCGTTGTCCTTTGCCGAACGTCTGCTGTACAACACGAAGCTATCGCAGGACTAAAGCTTGCTATCAAGGAAGGAATCATCCCCAAAGACAGGATTCGAACGTCTTTGAAAAGAATCCTCAAAATGAAATCAAAATGTACTTCATGGGAGCAAGCTCTGAATCCACTAGGTCTGGAATACCTCGCAGAGGTTAAACGTTCACATACCGAACTTGCCAGGGCGACTTATCAAAACTCTATTAGTCTACTCCGAGACGAAAAGCACTTTCTTCCCTTGTCCAATATCATCCAGGATTCGGAATCGCTTCTTCTTCTGACGCCTCTTCTCACCACCTCAGCTCCAAAGGGAAATACACCAGGAAGTTCAGCAGTTTGCTCCCCCACTCAAGATGCTCCACACCATCACCCGTCACTTATAAGTGGGGAAGAATTATTCAGTACACTAGGGACTACTCTAGCACAACGTCGAAATGGGAAAGTACTCCATACATCTTATACCGCAAATGGAGTCGAGCTACTACACGAAAATCTCCTCAACAGGGCTAGCGCGGTCATAGTTATCACAGCTGATGCCAACCGCAACCACTACCAAATCGAGTTCACCAGACAAATTGCCATGGTTTGTAATTCTCGACCCATATCGAATTTGAAAAGAAAGACACCACTCATTGTTGTATCCGTCAGCTCCCCATATGACTTTGCCATTGATCAATCCGTAGGCACGTACATCTGCACATACGACTTTACCGACATTGCAATGAATGCATTGGTGTCTGTTCTTTGCGGCGACGAAATTCCTCGGGGGGTTCTTCCCGGGGCACCGAACAAACTTCAAAAGGCTGCGAAAGTACGCCAGTATTGGACAGTTGAGGATTTTGACCGAACGAGAGATGAATTTGCGTTAGGCCTGTTGATTAAAGCCATTGTAGAAGGAATGCCACATCATCGACGCTCTCAACTTCAAGAAACCACCCCGGCTTCTTTTTTGCTACAAAACTCTAGAATCGAAGAATCTCATTTTGTTGTGCGCAATAGTACTACCCAAGAGATTTATGGATTTTGTTCAACCTACTTCTATAAGGAATCGGCCACCGCAGTAATCGGCTCACTATTTGTCCACGGCATGAGGCGGAACCTCTCCATTGGACATAGTTTGCACGAACGTGCCAAACGGGTTTTGCTGGAAAAGCCCGGTGTTAAAAGTGTTCAAATTGACTCGGTATTACCAAGCATGTTTATGGGAATTCCAGCAGATGATGCTGGTAAACATAGACGTTTGAGCCGATGGTTTCTCGATAGGGGCTGGAAAAGATCTTCGGCAGGTCTCGCACATAGCATGATCATTCGTGATCTTTCTAGATGGACCCTTTCTGCTAGATTGACAAGCAACACCCAGACCTCCTCCGTGGTTTATGACGCTGTCTCTCCTACTTCCTACTCAGACCTGATTCTAGAGCACGTGAGGGCCAACTCGAATCAAAACGAGATCGAGCTCTACAAGCTTGCTTTGGCAGACGCCAGGGCCTACCAAGTCGTACTTGCTAGAAGTTTCCCTAGTAATAAAATCTTAGGTTCTGAGATCCTATGTTATGGAAGGTCCTCTTTAGCAGAATTTTTGCCTGTATTAAGGACCACAACAGATGGCGGAGGCATTTTGGCACCTGTCGTCTCATTATCGAATGACAACTATGTGTCGATTTTGCAAGGGCTTTTGATATGCGGAATTCGACGCATCAAAGCGCAAGGACTCAACTCTTGCGTTCTAAATAAGGCAAGCTGGAAATTCCTATAACTTCTTCCTAGTCCGAGACTAATTGGTGACTCGCAGATTGAAGGGGACGTTGACTTTAATGCAGTATCTACGCTGGGATTCTCTACTATTCACAGCTTTGAGCGCTGGATATGGCCGGTCGCCTCGATACCATAACGTGTAGGACATTTAAAGGTGAAATACTTGACATTACGTGATATGGCGTTTGAGGGAGTAGGAGTATAGGTGCAAGTCTAGTGCCATGTGGACTGGTCAAGGGCGTGCGGCATATATCCTGTAATGATTCAAGGCGCCATTAACTCTATTATAATTTAGAATGTTAATTAGTTCTTACGCTAGTGCTTACCTCTATATGTTTATATTTCAATAAGTGATTACTTTTCTTTAGGAATATAAGTCACGAGTGCCATCACGTGATATGTTTAAAAAATACATTAACATCAAAAAGATGAACATATTGATTAATATTACTAATATCAGTCGTCCTTATATCAGCCATCATTATATATCTATTAAAAATGAAATATTTATAATTAAGCTTTTAAATAGCTTTAGTTATGCGGCTAATAGTGCACTGTGCCCCACCACCCCACTCTCTGGGCTTTAGGATAAGACATGCTTCTACCCAACACAACCGCGCAGACACTCGAATTAGATTCAACGAGCAGAATGGATGAAGCAGGAGAACATACGGTAGGCTCGGAGACCTACATACCAGTGTAATTATGATCAATCTGCTTCGTCAACAGGGACACAGCACTGATTGTCTCAAACAGATCTACCACGGGCATGTCACCATCCTTCGAGCCATTTTCTTATGATTTTGATTCTTATGCCGACACACTTGGAGATCTCGGGCTCCCATATTCCTTTGATGAACCTAGTGAGAGATTGCCATTTCAGGAATCTGATAATCGTCCACCTGTTCAAGCCAATAAGAGTCAGGAGCCGCTCTGCCTCAATGCAACATCTTGTAGTCGCACTGTTCATGACAGTGAGGGGAGAGATATCCAGGTCTCGGCAAAGGCAAAATTGAACGGAAGCTTTTTCTTCGGGGACGTTGGAGATATGATAGGCCCCCCAGCTCAGTTGACTTGTTATCGGAGGAACTTCTTCGGCGTCTCGGGCTCCATAAACTTTCCTCGGGCTCCCAGGCAGGTTGTGAATGAGAATGGTGAGGAGACGGCTATTTCTGGGGCAGAGGTTCACGTGTCAGCCTTTGAGTCATCGAACAAAAGAGCCACAGAGCTTGTTCTCGTGCCATTCAGGGCAATCGGTTCCGATATCCAAGTTACCGAGGAAAGTCACCTTGATATACCTATCATCTCCGAGACATCCCCTGGGCAAGGCCAAATGCTAAGCACCACGTTTCCATTTGAATGGAAGAGGCTACAGTTTAGGAAAGCCACAGCAAATAGTAAGTGCCACCCTGATTACCCTCTCTGCTGCACATGTTGACGTGAGTCATCAACCCAGATGGTAGTCGGAGAGGAGTACAACAGTATTTCCACGTAAAAGTTAGTCTTGTAGTCACTCTTAAAACAGGTGTAACTACTACTGTCGCAGAAGTTGAATCTGGTCCGGTGGTCGTGAGGGGCCGTAATCCAGGAAACTTCATCCACGAACAAGCATCTGCATCAACTACCAGCCTCAGTTTGCAGCAAAATGATATATACCGTTCGAAAAATAGAAGCAACGATAGTTTACCGACTTCGGCCAGAAGGAACACCAACTTCAAGCAGGACGAACATGCAGGTTCAGAGCTAAATTCCATGAATTCGATAAGTTCAACGCATGAATTTTCCACCATCGAGTCAACAGCACTTGATATCGACGAAACACACAACTGGTTGGGCTTCGACCTGGAAAACCACAACCTTCAAAACCTTGGGATGAATGCACTTCCCAAAAGATCACCATCTACAACATTTCCACCCCTCCATTCCTACCCATCATCATACCCACCACCCTCTTTACGAATCCCTCACCAATCCGAAACAATGAGTGCCAATTATTTCCCTACACATGATACCAGGCATGATATCGATCGCCTCTCAACATCAGCGGGCATAACCACAACACCTCCCAAGCCGTATCGGGGTTCTTTACCCCAACCCATACCTCCTATAAGAGCAGAGGAGAGTAGCGACACTACCGAGAGCTTCGAACCTCTTTATGAGTACTTTCCCCTAGGTCTAGATGGATGGATGCAACCAGTGGACGCAGTCTATCGTCCTCATGTTGCACACAACACTGTGTTAGTTCCCGAGCTAAAAGGGCTTATGATCAAGTAGAAGCCGACACACTAGCTTCTTGCTATTGAAACCCTTAAACATTGGTGGTGACTCTTACTGGTCCCGGTCCGAACTGGCTCTTCGCTCTCGATATTAACACAAGGAACGAAATTCATCGTCTGGTGGAAATACACGGTAGAAACAGTAAGCACACCTGAAGCTGCGGCCTATGCCGCTTAGGGGTTGTTCGTGAGGGATGTGATGAAGGAGATAGACGAGTAGGTAGATGTGAAGCAGAAGGGTGAGATCTCGGACTCGGAAGAATTCGAAGCCTCGTCTCCAAAAGGAAGAGCTTCTTCCTGCTCAACCGTTATCCGGAGAACAAGGTCAAGAGCGTCCTTGTCAGTATCCTTGGGATGATCCTTGTTGTTGCTGTTCTTATTGTTCTCGCTCTCTTGTTGGATGTTCTCGTTGCCCAGGCCGGATCATCCAAAGTCGCTCTATAATCGGGAGGCCGATACAACTGGTGATTGTTTCTTTGCATTGCTTGCGGGGCTGTGGCTGAATCTTACACAAGGGATAGCTGTACGCATAGGGACTGGGGGAAAAGTTGAGAGTTTGGGGATGGGGTTAGGACTAGTAGTCTAAGGAAGGGAAACACTATGGGTAGTCATTCATTTATTGCTCCGGTGGGTAGGTATTTATCAACAAAATGGAGACAAACTTGGGATGCTATACAAATGACTTTATAATCAAAGCCGGTCAAGTATTTTGAATCTCGCTTAGGAAAGGGGTGATAGATTGGGAGGCATCGCTTATTCCAAACCCCGAGGTCTTTGCCTCGTGGGCTTGACTACTTGGTAGACAAGAAAGTTTATTTATTCCTCAGACCCCCTTCGCGTATAATTTACCTCCCGCAGCCACATCAAACGCAATAGCTTCATTCAATCCACAAACAGTAAATATATCCCTCGGCCTTTTCCCATCCAAGTCCGCAGCTTTAAGATCCCCAGTCTCTTTCAGCTCCTTCGCCGCCGCCGAAACAGCACCAAATACCGGCCCCAATGCAAACGCAGCATAAATAATAATCCTAAAGCCTGCCTCCTTTGCTTCCGCGACGGTGAAATTCGGAGTTACTCCTCCCGCCACCATATTCAGCAGGACGGGCGTAGGTGCCAACTCAGCACAAACTCGCCTGCCCTCTTCAACGGACGTGAAGCCCTCGAGAAAAGCAACATCGGCTCCAATGGCAATGGCTTTCTTCAAGCGGGATACTGCTGCTTCATAGCCGAGAGACTGCAAGGCGTCCGTCCGGGCTATGATCACTATATCGCCATGTGTCTGCGCTCGAGCGTTTACGGCGGCTCTGATCCGCGTGATATAGGTCTCCTCGTCCACAATCTCCTTATTGGAAAGGTGGCCGCATCTCTTGTTCACCACTTGGTCTTCGAGGTGGAGGGCTGCAACTCCCGCTTGCATGTATTGTTCGATCGTGCGGCCGACCATTAAAGGGCCTGCTCAAGTTGTCAGAGGGGGAAGTCACGGAGAGGATCCTGTATGTGGGGTTCTTACCGCCGAAGCCGGTATCCGCATCTGCAATAACGGGGATCCTTCTATCGAGGCTTGATATCATTCCAGCGTTTTCCCTCATGTCGTTCAAGGTAGCGATTCCCAAGTCTGCCATACCAAGTTTTGACATGGTCGTGCCAGCACCTGTCTTTCATCCAGATTAGTTTCTTGCTGTACAAAAATCATGTAGCTGACAATTAAGAAATATGTCCTTTCAAAAGAGGAACCATGTATAAACAATCAAATCCTGCACTTAAAGCAATTCTTGCCGTAAACCCATCGTACACGCCCGGACAGACGACTATTTTGTCTTCCTGGGCAAGGAGCTCCCGCAGTCTTGCAACGGCTGTCATATTGATATTATTGTTATCTATTTCTTCTCTCTTCTGAAACATAATAAAACAGCTACTCGTTCATGGCTCGAAGACACCGTATCATGCGCTGTAGCATTATACCTTTGTAATCGGAGCGCAGACGGCTAACAATCGAGGATTCGGACGCCGGGATCTTTCTCTTCTGGGCATGCGCTGCGATTCAACGGATTTAAGAAGGAGATATAAATTCCAGGAATAATATAAAGCGATACATGTCACAAAATGCGGGGTCGGCTCTGGTGGCTCGGTGCCCACGGGCCGAAAATGGGACTTGACATTATTCGGCCCAATCATTGCGAGGACATCGGTCCATTTTCGCCTAATCTTGCTATACAAATCTCCCCAGTATGTATTTGATAGTATGTTAGTTAAGCTAGAGTTGAATATAAAAGCATTGAAGATATCTTTCTCTTGTTATCATTAAACTTTTGGGTTGACTTCATTTTAACAACCAAGGCTTGAATTAAACGGGCCGTAAATTTAACTAAATACACGTAATGCAACTATGACAATGGCTGAAGCTATTGATCCTCAGCTAACTACGCAGAAAATCTTAGATATCCTTCTTCGTACTCGGAACATCAAGGTGGATACAAGCAAAGATTTTGATACAAAAAGTACTATTACAAATTCCCATCATTTCAGGCTAATCTAACACTTCAATTTACTTTCAGGTCTAACCCCACAATCATCTCTCCAACAACTTTCCCGTGTCTCCGAAATCCTTACATCAGCACACCATGCAAGGGAAGCCGAAACACTTGCAACAGTTCTCTCCCTCGCTACTCAACTCCCAGATTTCGGCGGCTTGGGGTTTAAAGAAGACCAAGAGCTGAATTCACAGCAAGAAGCGCAGGTGCTGTTCTTTGTTTCAGCATGGCTCGAATCTCTCAATTCAGAAGATCGTGCCAAGAACCAACCAAAGCTATTGACTTCGCGGCCAAAAGGGCGGAGAGGCATGACTTTGAGCGAAAAGATACTGTCGGCTCATGATATTGAGAGAAGAGGAGAGCTGAAGCCTGGAGACATGGTTAGAGTGGATGTAGATTGGATTATGGCGTCTGAGATATCTTGGGCTGTGAGTCTCAGATCTGAGGCTTGAAAAGAAAGAAGGAGAGATTTGCTTTACTGACTGGTTTTTGTTTCGTTTTAGGCGATGAAGAAACAATACGATGCTCTCGGCAAACCTGGAATCTTCCGGAACGATAGATTTTGGCTTGCTGGTGATCATGTTATTGATCCGCGGGTCAAGGATGTGCCACTCATAAAGCAACTCGTTGCTGATAGTGAGGCGGCAAAGACGGATTTCATGATGACGGAATACCAGGGCATGAATGTAAGTTCCTGCTAAGTGTTCTTTCTTTATCATCATGCAAACTCCAATTGACCTGTGGAAACAGTACACGATTATGCACACTGAATTCTTTCGGGAACGAGCCCAACCAGGAATGTTGGTCATTGGATCTGACTCGCACACCTGCTCATCAGGATCACTTGGATGCCTGGCAATCGGGTTAGGAGTTGCAGATGTGACCGTCCCCCTCATCACCGGCGAAACATGGTTTAAAGTCCCTGAGAGCGTTGCAATTCGACTCGTCGGCAAACCAAGTCCAGGAATAGGAGGCAAGGACACTATTCTGTATATCCTGAAAAAGTTGAAGAGGAACACAGTGGCTGCCGAGCGGATAGTTGAATTTATGGGTCCTGGACTCCAATATCTCTCATGTGATGCCCGGTTTGCCATTGCGAATATGACAACAGTGAGTACCCATACCACCAGTCCCCCCTTCCCTGAAGTCCAGAAGCCAAAACTAAGCACGAATCAGGAATTCGGAGGTATAACCGGCATCTTCACTCCCGACCAAACAACCCACGACTTTATAAGCCAACGCAAAAGCCCCCGTAACAAGAAAAACTCCAAATACTTCCGTCCAGACAAAGACGCCGTATACATAGAGACGCACACCATCGATCTCTCCCTAGTCCAGTCATTCGTCGCCCGCTACCCCTCACCCGACGACGTCGTGCCCATCAGCGAAGTGCAAGGAATGCATCTAGACGGCTGTTTCATCGGCGCCTGCACGACCGCCGAAGAAGACCTTATTCTCGCAGCCATGGTCCTCGACCTCGGTCTGAAGAAAGGCTACCGTCCCACCAGCGCCGGGAAACGCAAAGTTGTGCCCGGATCATTGCCGATCCTGCATCGCCTGCAGGAGCTCGGATTCGTGAAGGTCTATGAAGCGGCTGGCTTCGAGGTTGGTGTACCCGGATGTAGCTATTGCGTGGGCATGTCGGCAGATAAGGCTGCGAAGGGTGAAGTGTGGCTCTCGTCACAAAATAGGAATTTCGAGAATCGTATGGGGACTGGTGCGTACTTGCAGCTTCCACCGCTCCCTGGCATGACTTCAACCTCCGCCGTACTAAGTAAATCTAGGATCGATTGGAAATCTCGCCTCCGCTGTATCTGTGGCAGCATCCTCATTTGATATGAAAGTGACAGATCCTAGATCTCTGCTCGACGAGCTAGACTTGGATCACCTGGAATCCCTCCTCAGACCAGCATCTCTCTTGAAAAAGAACACCGTCAAGAAACATCCCATCTACGAGGAACCAAGCAGCTCCGACCTCTCTGCCAGTATCGAAACCACTCATAAACCAGATTCCAGACTCCCAGAAACTCCACCTTTAACCAACGCTGCTCCTACCACAACGCCACCAGAAGTCCCCTCACAGCCTAAAAAACTACCGGATATCATTCGCGGCAAAGTGCAAATACTAGGAGATTTCATAGACACCGACGCCGTAACCACCCTTCCCCTCCTAACACCCCCAGAACTAACCTCCCACGCAGCTCGCACCCTCATCCGCCCTCCTAACCTGCACCACGGACCTCGAATACGGTGCCTTCTGTCTAAAATACACACACCCCCACTTCCGCACCCTCGTATCCTCCGGACACACCATCATCGTAGCAGGGCAGGCCTTCGGGTGCGGCAGCTCGCGCGAAGTAGCCGTCAACGCATTGAAGGGTGCGGGTGTGAAATGCGTGATAGCGCGGTCGTTTGCGTTTATATATGCGCGGAACCAGCCGAATCTGGGATTGTTGGGGGTGGTGATAAGGGATGAGGGGTTTTATGAGGCGGCAAGGGATGGCGTGGTGGTTGAGGTTGATGTGGGGGGAAGGAAGGTTAGGGTTGGTGACGAGAGAAGAGAGTGGGGGTTCGAGTTGAGTCAGATGGAGAGGGAGCTTATTGCGGTGGGGGGCATGGATCGGGCGTTTGAGAAGTTTGGGAAGAAGCTTTTTGAGGTTATGTGTGCGCCTGTAAGTTTGACGCAGAAGGATGACGGGTGTGTTACTTCGACAGGACTTCAGTGGTAAGGAGATATTATCGGTTCTGCAATATGTATTGATTAATTTGCCTAAAGACTGAATGATTGACTGTGAACTTCTCTAAAATGACCGGTCCTCCCCTTGATCAACCCGTCCCCAATCTAACCGTTGGCAGAGTTATACATGCAGTAATCAATGTTCTTCCCATTAGCAACCCCGCCATTATTTCCTGCCCATGTCGGGAAGGCTTGAGATTTCCCGCTTCCTCCAAACACTGCGAAGCTCAAGATGAAAACCATCACTTGGGTTCCGCCATCGAGGGCCGCAGAGACGAGGTAGTTGTACTTGACGAACAAGCCTGGTTTGTACTTCCGCAAGTAAAATTGCGCAATAAATCCAATCACAAAATACGATCCAATACTCGCATTGACTCCGACGAACAGCCAGCCCATATACCACAGCACAATCGGAAGATTGATATATTCGAAGAAGCGAATCTTGGTGTACCTGTGCAATAGGTAAAAGGGAACTGGGACGATGAAACCGACAAGATAAGAGATAGTAACCCATTGGTAACGTGCTCCGACTGAGAATAGATCTCCTGCGATAGACCATGCGATTGCTAGGGTGTTGTACTGTTGAACATTCTGGCCGGACCAGACGTTTGAGCCTTCGACAGATTTGAGAATCTTAAATTGGTTGGTCACGATGCTCTTCATCATGATATAGTTGAAAACTGCACCAATGACGGCACCAAGCATTCTGCGGAAAGGGTTAGAACAAGTTTGAACATTTGGGAGAAGGTGAATTTACTGCGCTGTAAAGGTTGACTTGGGGGAGAGATGAACGAGCTGGGCGACCTTGAGATCTCTCAATAGCCATTGACCTTGCTGAATGCCGTTGAAGCCGAACACAGTAAAGTACATGTTTGCTGGAGAAAATTAGCTTTTGAAGTGTATTAGTTGGGAAAGAGGGAGTACCGAGTGGTTTTCCTGGATGCAGGTATCCAGCAATCATTTGGATGATCGGTTGCTGATTAAACTGAAAGCCGGTGAGACCCATTTGAGCCCCAAAGATCAAGATGAAGACCAGTGCGAAGATGTTCGAAACGATATAGCCCCACCATGGTAGCGATGACTTGACAGCATAAATCGTACCCATACCGACAGCAAAACTTAGTAGCAGCACGTTAGCGTACCACCAATTAGGCACTTCCTCGTAACCTGCCTGAACCATCATCTTATAATGAGGATCCATCTTGGGATTTTCCAGAACCTCGCGCTTATGTTCTTCCTTGGATTTACCGCCTTTCCAGAAAACCCAGAAGGAGAGCTGCAGGAGCTTCTTCAGGTTGCTTGGGGACAAGAAAAAGAATCCCTGTTTGATGTCATCCCAGTTCCAAAGAATCATGTGGACGAGCGTGGCAGTACATCCCATGTTGGTGGTAATGAGATAGGCAACATAGGTTCCAGTCAAGTAAGGGATTCCGTTGGCCTTCAAGCCAGCTTGGTCGATAAAGTTTTCTGGTGTAAGAATCGCGGTAAGGTTGTACTCGGCGAAAACGGTTGAGTTCGAGCTAGTATCATAGAGAAGCTGAGACATGAAGGGGAAATCCTGGGATCTCCATATGTTGCCGTAGTATATACCCATGAAGAGAACAATGCAGAGGATATATCCGATGAGGGTATTCGTGAGGGTGACAATCGGAAGCCACATAGGTGAGCCCAAACTAGCAATGTATTGCCAGTCGAAGCTAATGGACAAGAAGCCGAGACCCTCATTGCCTTGAGATCCACCAAAGAGGTTGGTGAACGTAAGACTGTGTTGCCTGGCGAGGCAGAAAATTGACAGTCCTTGAAGCAGAGGGAAAATCCACTCGGGGATGATTTCCCAGACGAATAAAACGCCAAAGACGATCCAGAAGACCTTTAGACGGAACCGGTTTTCTGTCTTGTCTCGATGAAGGGTTTCGATGAGTGAGACAACAGGGATATTTATGGGCCATAACATTCTGGAAGGGCGCAGGGTCAGTACAAAATTATGTCTCGTTGAGATTATAAAATATTCTCACCTAGTAGGTTGGACTAGGATAGACCTAAGTAGGCCGGCAATACCAAAGCCAAGAAGCTGCGAAGAGATGACGAGGAAGATTGAAGCTCCAGCGCTTGGATCCATATTATAGTAAAGTCTTTGAGCGGCAAGGATTTCCGTCGAGACGGCATTCGTTGCTGCTGCCGAGGCCATGATGAGAATGAAGGCATGCTCTTTGCTGTTGAATGGAAAGGGGTTGAAGAAGCGGAAAACAGCATTCGTTCGAGGGAGCAAGGCCATCAGCTCTCCAAGAGCATAGCCAATGACTGTAATAAAGACAAGGGAGACATAGATGGCTTGCGGCTTGAAGTAGTAGATTTCCTGGATGACGGATGCGAAGATTGCGAGGCCGATACCTGCAGCACGGAGTACATGTCAGTGAATGTCTGAAGGAGAGGGGTAAGAGAGAGAAGAGAGGGCAAGACAGAAGGAGAGGAGGTGAGAGGAGAGAGGTGAAAAGCAGTAGTAGATTACTAACCCAGGAACATGGCACGAAAGGTCCATGGACTGAGGGAAGGGTCATCGTCAACATGGATAACATGTGTAAGAACGCCCTTGGCATCCGAGATGACTTCTGCCTCTCCAAAATGGTCTTCCTTTGCTGCGTCGAAGACGTGGTGATCTGAGCTTATGGAGGCGATCTCGGGGCTCGCACCCTCCTTTTCGATGTCGTTCGAGGTGGCATGTCCAACATCACTCGAGGGGATGTCGGTGTCCGCTCGGGCGAAACCAGGTCTCTGTGTCGCCATGCTTGCTTGGCGTTGAAGAGACAAATGCCAGTGCAGGCAGCGAGTGCAACCGGCAGACGCAAACTATGTGCCCGATTACGAGAAGAAATTGACTCTATCGTTGTGGTCAAATTCACAACGAGAAGGGAGAAGAGAAGAAAAGGGAAGTCGCGCTGGAGCTACACCACGCTAGCCTCGACTTTTGGAAGGGCGCTCTTATGTCGCAATGGTGGAATTGGAACGTGAATGGAATCATTATTATATCAGGGTGAATACCATCCTATATACTCACTCCCCCTCCATCTGCTTCCCAATTTACCCGTGAGTAGGATGGAGCCACCCGCCCGGTATCCTTATCTTGAGCAATCTCTATGCAGAATGAGCGACACAGGCACCACTAATTATTGCATGCTGGGTTCTCGTAATCTTTCTGCAGAAACGGAACAAACCCAAACCAAAGCACGAATGAGGACCAAGAGAATAAATAGATACCCAAATACACACACCCATATCATGGAACCCCGCCCGCGGCGCCCGATTCCGACCACTTGGTCGTCGTCCTTGGCAGAACGACCTTCCAGAAGCATCATGGAGGCTGTATAGGAACCACATACATACAAGTGTTATCCCGTAGGGATTGTCCGAATCATGAATCTGATTGGAAGCCACAGTTGCTTTCTTTTGCCATCTGTATCCATACCGAACCAACACGACAGCGCGGAATCAAGTTGTCAGTCTGTTGAATATCCATCAGCTATCTTCGCTGCATCGCATCTTAGCATCCGTTGGCGAAGGTTGGGCGCGTATACTCGTATTGTTTCCTTGACCCAGGGCTGCAGGAGTTCACTTGCCAGAGAGAAGTTTGGTTTCTCTGATTAGTGGGTATACGATCGCACATACTCGTATGCTTCTTCTGAGCCCACGAAGATCCCTGCTGCGAACGGATTACCTGTTTGATGCAAGTGCCATCTGAGTGTACTCGTACATGTACCCCGGCCCGGGTGAAAGAAAGCTTATCTTCCTCGCTCAAAAGCTTGTGTACGGTACAGTAGAGCCCGCCATCACATCCACATTTCGTTGGATTACCGTCAAATAACACCGAGACCGTGCCTTCATCCGGAAAGAGGTAACATCGCGACTATCTCAGCCACCCCGCCATTGAAAAGATTGATTTTCGGGTTTTTCCTCCCTTGGTCAGTCCGCGTTGACCAACTTGACTGATGTTCAAACAAAACCCTTTGGACGGCTATTCTCGGCATGTATTTTCTGCCTTGACCGAACGTCACTCTGTGACATGGGCGCAGAGTTGGACCTTTGCATTTTGTGCCGCAGAGAGTCCTGCATCTCCCTAGCTTCAAACTCGAGGCACTCCTCACTCTCCTTCCCCATTCTCACTAGAGGTTCAAATCAATCCAGTGAGAGGCTATCACGTGACCAATCCATCAAACTCTTCAAGGTGAAGAGCCCCTAGGCAGAAACAGCGGGACCACGTGAGAAGTAGGTCTCCAGTATGTTGTAGGTTCGAGGGCAGGTCTCGGGGGGGCGTAACATTTGACCTCGAGTTCCGAAGACGTAGCGAGGCGAGTACAGTACGACGAAGGACGAGTCCTCGGCACCTGAGCTTGCGGGCCGTGAACCTTGAACTGCGGTTAACAAACTCATTAAATCAAAAACCAAATATCAAAACTTACAACTGTAGGAAAAGAAAAGGGGAGGAGGTCAGGTAGATGTATATACGGTACGGATAAGGAGTCAAAACTAGCCTGTGCGTTGCGTTCGGTGTGAGTCAAGGCCGATCGAAAGTACTCCGTAAGCACGGGGTAATCTGTAATCCTTCCTTGGCGTACCAACAGTTGGTACATTTCATTCCAACTCGACTTGAACTTATAATATTCCCCTAAACTAGAGGGAAAAACATAAAACATACTGAAGGTTTATTGATGCCTATCATAATAACTTGGCTTTTTATGGCTATATTAGATATTTATCTTGGTACTGTATGCTCCGAATTTCATATACCAATATCTAGCTTGCATCGGGCGGGATACACCAGGTAGTTGGAGTTACATTTGAGGAGTGGTAGTCTGAGTCTAATAGTAATGCGATTAACCGGGCAATTACTATGCACAATAGCATATACCAAGTTCTGTACTCGATGGTAGTCCTCTTAGGAATCCTCATAGCGTATGCTTTACCAGACTTCTGGCTTGAAAATTTCCACACCTACCTTGGCTCCGAACGCGATATCCAAAACCCTCAACAATTCGATTCGTGAGCTTGAAGCCCGAACATCTCACGATTCCAAACTATCCTATCTCAGGCGTCAAAACTATAACCCACCTATGCGCGAATACCGTACCAAAGTGCTCGATATCCTACCCTATGTCGAATGTAACATTTTATACTCCAACCAATCATCCACCCTAGGAAACGGCACCTTAGGAACCTCCTTCCCCAAAAACTCACACAACGGCGCCCATCCATCCCTCGGATCCCACTCCAAGAACCCCCCCTCTTGCTCAGAAGGGCCAGCACAGCTCCTCACAAGGGCATTATGCGCACGGAACTGCGCGCGGCCACGAGCAGGGAAATCTCCACCCCAAACCAGCGTCTGGTATTTGTCTGAGAGGGGACGCATGGGGCTCGGTGCTGGATCGGAAGCGCTTTTGCTGGTGCTCCATTTGTGCCAGAGGGTTGCGAGCATGGAGGCGTACCATTTATCTTCGTCGCGGGTGCTTAGGATTATTTTTGCGTTGGGGTATGCGGCTATGAGTTCGCAGGGGAAGATGGCCGCGGGGTAGTCGGCGACGCCCTGGTATGAGTCAACAAACATATCTTCAGCCTCTTAACATGCCATGCTATTCATATAAAGAGCAAAGGATGTGTATGTGGATGCTTGTAGAAGAACTTAACATACATACATTATACCCACTCAAAAAACTATCAAATTCCTCACGTCCGAACGGCTTGCCTTTCCCCTCGAATTTAGCTTCCAGTGCCTCGATCCACTTGGCCTGATGCTGGTTCTTGCCCACCTCACGCATATGGTAGATATTCGGGTAGCCTAATATATTCAAGGCGTCTGCAAGGGCTGTTTGAGAAATAGAAGGAGCTTGTTATCAATCAAGGACTCGAGCTTTTACAACTGACTGAAATTGTGACCTTATAGGACGTACATTGCGTGCCAGTGCGCGGAAGACCTAGGACTAGGATTTCCATTTGAATACTCTGTAATGCTGATGGACTAGGATGAGAACAAAAGTTGGAGAACAGGAGTTTCTGCAGCTATAGAAAGGTGGCTGATATGATATGTATTCTCGACTTCGAGTAATGTGTGATTGTAGTTGGGGTCAAGAAGAGGGAAGAAATATAGGGGGAGTGGAAGTATAGTGGGCGGGCATTACCGGCCCGCTAGTGCCCGTACCACCTAAATAAACCTGACATTTTATGTCATGTCACCAGAAGCTTGTTACATCCATCTAATTCCTCTCAGAACAAAAGGTACGCACCTTAGTATACCAATTCTCACAAAGACATTTCCGTCAACTCTCCATCGCTTCGCCATACCGACCTTCTAGTCAAATGCAAACGCGACGAAGCAGGGCAGGTTGGTTGGTGTAGAAGACAAGTCTGCACCAAATACATCATCCCAGGAGTCCACAACATGCCATGCCATGTCTCCCGCGCTCCTCCCGCTGCACAATACATATCGTTGGACCTAAGCCGTTACCGATTCGTCTCCCCCCCTCTTCTTCGTGCGATATACCGAGCGAACAAATCTCCCCACGCGACATCACAAATCCGATCCAAGGGAGGGGGGAAGGATTCTCGAGAGCTCGTTGCAGGGTGCCAAAATCTTGTAGTTATGCTATGCTAGACACAGTCTACGTCTGTGCTACACCCTGCTGTACCTCCCGGGATGATGAAAGCTTCCGGTAGATATATGATACCTAGGTTGCACAAGTTGACAAGTGGCATGGTGGGATCAAAGCCTCACGTTCTGTTCCTCCTTTCTGCGAGTTGCAATAAGCATTGGCTGAGGCTGTAGCAACATAGTATTGCTATTATACCCGTACTGGAAGTGGTTCTGTCAGTGCAGAATGAGCTTTTGTCATCTATTTCGAGATCTAGCTATCATCTAGGAAGATGATAACATATGGCCTCAAATCTTTCAAATGTCTGCCGACTAGCGTTCGGTCCGCATTTTGATTCCGCGCTTTCTGTCTACCATTTAGACAGAGGAGAAGTTCGCATGCTTAGTGTGTGTGTCTCACGTGTGTTGCTGTAAAGATTCTGTGATATTATGCTGTCTGAATTGCTGTGTTGGTCTTTCAAGTTTGGCATGATGGCATCCTTCCGTCTATGAAGTGGGTGAAATATCGATGTACGCTGACCAAATGTTGTAATTGCCTGCTAGCACGTTATTCTTGGTTTTCTTGTTTTGTGTAGATGTTGGATACTTTGCTACTCAGATGTTTCAGACTGAAACCTGTCCAATTCCTGTTCCTGATAAATCAATTCCGTTGGGAATAGCAACAGTTGGGGTATTCACACCATTGCCCCTGTCGACGTAGAGGGTTAGATGACTGGCTGCGACTGCTGGCAATGTGCGGGGAAATATTGTAAGATACGAAGTCCAACCAAGATTGTGTCGCATCTACACCGTCGACCAGCTGGCTTGTTAAAGTTGCCATGCCTAAAGGCAGCATACCCCACGCCGCCTACATTAGAATGACTTTCTCCCAACACTCCCTTGGACGTATGGGGCGCGCATTCTACACCGATGTTCGGAGCAGACTTTCTCATTGTCAATGGCTTTAACGGTCGAAACTTAGGGTTTTCATCGAAATTTATTTGATCCTTCATCTTGGTTCTGCAGCCTTTGCATTTAGATTATCGAGCGTCTTTGAAATTCGCCGTCATTGAGGCTCGTGATAGTTTTAATGCACTGTCCATAACATCTGGCAGCACATGTGTTGAAGCGAACTATGAGCTTTGCAATCTGGCTCTGCTCATGGGCCTTCTTTAGCATTTGCTTCTGCGTCTGGGTTTGCTGTTACATACATGGACCTTTACATCTCGCTTTTATCTTCGCGTTGCTTATCACATCCATAGTCTTTCACTTTTACTTGCCGTCGCGTTCCTTTTTGTGACTTTGACATTCAATTTGAAAACCGATGAATCACAAGCGGCAAGGCCCTTTGCTGTTTATCAATATCATCTCAAGCTTAGCCTTCCCAGATTTTTACTGTTAAATTTGTGATATGCCTTTGACTTGGTTGCATTTGCCTCCGACTGGCCGTAATACAAAAGGGTGTTACGCAAGCTACGCCGTACTTCCGCTTTTTCAAGCCATCATTACGGAATACCGGATACTGCTCGGAGTATAGGGCTTTTACAGATCTGGCTGGTTAATGCCCAGTAACCAGAAGTGCGGACCACCTTACAGGATGAACTATGCGATAGCTCTCAATAGGCTGAAGGCATAGGCTAGTTTTCAAGTCCGGCGTAGTGTTAGAATTCCTATAATTTGCCGTGTCAACTGGTACTACTACGATAATGGGTCATCGAAAACATCACAACATAACTTGTACTTTCTTAATCTAGCTATCTCCTTTTAGTATTAGTATAGTCACTTATTACAATATCCGCAGACCATTAGTTGGACGGAACTTTTACTCCACCTCGCGTATCACTAGACCGTGTTCGAGGAATTCTGTAAGCGGGGTATAGCACCACTATATTATTGGAGGAAATTCATGCCAACTTGAATAGCGCGTGCCATTTCTATTCCAGAAAACGGAACATTTTATCAGATTGACGGAGTAAAGATGATAACACACAGGCCGGAATAGACGCTACTCTGTTTAAAAGCCTACGATGTGCGCGCTTCTTGTCGATAAGTTGAAAATTCTCACAGGCATCCAAAGCGATCAGGCATGTTTTCACAACCAAGCATTAAACGCGCTTGCGTATTCGCTCTAGGCCTTATTGCCACGACAATTTCCCCTGTCGCTGCTGGGCCCTGCGACCTCTATTCCTCGGGTGGCACGGCCTGCATCGCGGCCCATAGCACTACTCGCGCCCTATATGGCGCCTACACCGGCTCACTCTACCAGGTGAAACGCGGCTCTGATAATACCACAACTATTATCGTGCCGCTCACCGCTGGTGGTGTCGCTAATGCCGCAGCCCAAGATACCTTTTGCGCTAGCACGACCTGCCTTATCACGATCATTTACGATCAGTCCGGCCGCGGGAATCACCTTACTCAGGCTCCGCCAGGTGGCTTTGACGGCCCGGAAACCAATGGCTACGACAACTTGGCTAGCGCGATTGGCGCACCAGTCACACTAAACGGTCAGAAGGCGTACGGCGTCTTCATCTCGCCCGGTACTGGCTACCGCAACAACGCCGTTAGCGGCTCAGCTACAGGCGACGCGGCAGAAGGAATGTATGCGGTTCTCGACGGGACTCACTACAATGGTGAATGCTGCTTCGACTATGGTAATGCGGAGACAAGCAGCCACGATACTGGAAATGGTCATATGGAAGCCATCTACTTTGGCGACAACACAGTTTGGGGAACTGGCGCTGGAAGTGGCCCTTGGGTCATGGCCGATCTCGAGAATGGGTTATTCTCGGGCGAGAGCGCTACCAGCAATACTGCGGACCCATCCATCTCCTACCGGTTCGTTACTGCGATCGTTAAAGGGGAGCCAGACGAATGGGCGATCCGTGGAGGTAACGCTGCGTCCGGATCGTTGTCAACGTACTACAGTGGCGTGCGCCCAAGCGTGTCTGGCTATAACCCGATGAGCAAAGAGGGCGCTATCATTCTTGGCATCGGGGGCGACAATAGTAACAGCGCGCAAGGTACATTTTACGAGGGCGTGATGACCACAGGCTATCCGACAGACGCCACCGAGGCCTCAGTGCAGGCCAATATCGTAGCCGCCAAATACGTCACGGGGGCATTAACCAGCGGCTCTGCGCTCACCGTTGGATCCTCCATCTCGCTGCGGGCTACTACAGCGTGCTGTACGACCTATTATATCGCACATACTGGTTCCACCGTTAACACCCAAGTCGTCTCGTCGTCTAGCACAACTGCTCTCCAAGAGCAGGCCAGCTGGACGGTTCGCACTGGTCTTGGCAACAGCGCTTGCTTCTCTTTCGAGTCCGTCGATACACCCGGCAGCTATATACGGCATTCAGCCTTCACTCTCGTGCTCAACGCTAACGACGGCACCAAGCTGTTCTACGAAGACGCCACATTCTGCCCTCAGTCTGGCCTTAGCGGTACAGGCACCTCGATACGATCCTGGAGCTATCCTACCCGTTACTTCCGCCACTATGAATATGTTGGCTATGCTGCGAGCAACGGTGGGGTCCATGCCTTTGACGCCGCAGCCTCATTCAACGATGACGTGAGCTTCGTGATCAGCTCTGGCTTCGCTTCTTGAGTCAAGATATGCCAAAGTTTCATGATGGACTGCTAAAGTGGGTGAAGCGTGAGTAGCATATGGTGTGGAAACAAATGTTAAAAAGTTATGTGATTGTATTCTCTAGTTGATGGGAACAGGGCGGGGGGACCTTATAGCAACACTTACAAGTGAATACACAGTTCATCATATTGGTGTACCTCGCATCTCACCGATCACATGATATACAAGTTGGTCTATTCTTTCATTTATTCTTATCAACTTTCAATATCCCACGCAAATTGGCACATTCTCGGTTGATGCCAGTTTTTCTATCCACCGCGCGCGAGGATTTTCTTTTTAGAGACCGCCGTAAAATACTATAGGACTTAAAAGAGAAATCTTTGTTGTAAGGCGGATGCCAAGGGTCAGTTTTGGTCGTCCCCTTGTTAAAAATAAAAGTTGAATAGACCTGAGCTGACCTGAGCTGACCTGAGTTGAAGCTAGGCCAGCCTGAGAAAAGACGTTGTAGATCACGCGAGTCTAGTTGTGAAAATTCCTGTGGTTATAATAACACTAGTACTCAATACATAGGTGTTCTCCCCCGCTAGCCCCCCCTTTTGGTGAATTCTTAACGTGGTTAGCGTATTCGCAAGGTGTAAAATCTGTCAACTTGAGATCATAATAAAAGATAGAAGCGCAGGAAAGCTTTGGACATGTTCACCATTATCTCCATCACACAGTCGAACAAAATCACTGGTATTAAATATAGTGGTTGTGGTATCACCTTTCGTTAAATCGCCAACCCGGGGATTAATTTCTCCTGGCAGTTGCAATGCAAAGAATACGGCCAGGGAGCATCCACGTTATGGTCTGGAATTGATACACTATATGGGTTTGGATTTCGAAATGACGAACAAGAGCTATCATAGCGCACAGTGTGTTGGTAGTCACGTGTACTTGTACCGTACAGCTGCCCCACAATCTCTCGTCATCATATCTTCAGCCTTACACAACCATGTCTGTCACCTTCATTTGCATCACATCTCACGAATCAGAGTTATCCATTTTCCCGTGTAGCGCTGTTGTGAAACCAACCTTTTCCTGTGTGATAAACGGCGGCAACAACGCGGCGCGGTGGGGCGGCTGGCTGGGACTTGAGAACCTCCCATTTTCTCTGATACTACCATGGCCATCTGAAGACGTTATATGAAGATCACAGAAAATTCTCTTGAGAAAGACTACACTCAGTCTTGAATCCGGCACAATGCTGTCGATGGACGATCTTATCAAGGCCATCCACACAACCCCGATTATCGACAACCACGCCCACCCCTTGCTTACACCCTTTGCCCAAACCAAACATGACCTCCTCGCAATCACCACCGAAGCACACGGCAAGGCTATGAAAGCTACCCCATCTAGTCTCTCACATCTCCGGGCCGTCAACCAGCTTTCAGAGATCCTCGGGTGCGAAGCCAAATGGCACGCTATCGTCAAGGCTACTGAGATAGAAAAGACTAGGCTGGGTCACGCTTGGGCGAAGAGATGTCTGGAAGGTATTGAAACAATCCTCGTTGATGATGGGCTGGATGGGAAAGACGAGGTCTTTGGTTATCAATGGCACGATCAACTGACGAGGAGCAAATGCAAGAGGATTGTTCGCATAGAAAAGGTGGCGGAAGAGATCATCGACGGGCTGTTGAAGAATCGGGTAGCCGGAGCCCGAGATGCATTTGCAACGTTCAAACACTTCTTTCGGAAGGCGATTAGAGATTTCATCAACGACCCGGAGGTTGTGGGTTTCAAATCAGTTGTTTGCTACCGGAGTGGACTGGATATCTCGACTTGTGCGGATTCCGAGTTCATGTCCGAATTTGTCGCTCTTTTCTCTGGCTTGAAGGCTCAAGGTGTCACCGATTTCAAGAGGATTGATCGCGAATTCATCAACTGGTCTCTGGTGAACTTGACTGCGGAGCTCATAGAGGAGAGTAATGGGCATAAGAAGCCATTCCAGTTTCACACTGGGCTAGGCGACAATGATATTACACTCACTCGATCGTCTCCTTCGCATCTTCAGAGTTTCATCAGGAAATATCCCAAAGTTCCAATTGTTCTCCTTCATGGGAGTTATCCATGGACCCAAGAGGCGGGATATCTTGCAACTGTCTACGACAATGTGTATGCAGATATCGGTGAAGTGTTTCCCATGGTAAGCAAAGAAGGGCAAGAACGAGTGGTTCGGGAAATTCTGGAGCTTTGCCCGACAGAGAAGATTCTGTGGAGTACAGACGGTCACTGGTGAGCTTATTCTCATACAGAAGAGCTGTTTTATTCTATGGGAGCTAAGGAGCCCGGAACTGTTTCGGGAGACCACATGCAAGCTCCCGAGACAGCTGCTCCTTGGCTCTGCCCCAAGGTCAGCATTTACTATACTAATACGTCGGTCAGGTTTCCGGAAACCTATCTTTTAGCCATTGTTCAAGTCCGAGAAGCACTAGAAGTAGTGAGTTGCTTCTATCATCAGTTATTTCCTAATTAACTTTGCAGGTCCTACCCGAATACGTGCGAAAAGATGCTTTAACAATTTCACAGGCCATCAAAGCCGTAGAAAATATCCTATTCACAACGTCAAACAATCTATACGATCTTAGACTCCCCTTGAAAGCTTTCCCCCCAAGTTCGATATCCTTTCGTCCTAGATCGGGGATTCAAGACCTGGAAGTACTAAGATCATTCATGGAGCGGCATCAAGCTACAAAATTCATCCGTCTGCAATACCTAGACTACACATCAACCCTTCGACTGCGGGTAATACCTGCAAAACGAGCGCTAAGTCTTCTACAAGCAAACAATCACCTTCAAATCGGCATAACCAAGGCCGCTCTCGGGTTGCTTCAAAATGATAGCCTGATCCCTGGAATCACCCCGAGCGGCGAATACAAACTTCAGGCCATGCTCTCATCACTTCGTCCAGGTCCGACCAAGGGCTTTGCTTCAGTCCAATGCGAGTTCCGCGAATACGATGGCTCTGAAGTAGACCTCTGTCCTCGATCACTACTACGACGTACCATCAATACAGCCAAATCCCAAGGTCTACAGTTCCTAATGGGCTTTGAAGTAGAAATAGTCTTCATGTCCCGTTCTCCCGAAGGCGCTTTCATGCCAATGGCCGAGTCACAGAGCCATGTCTGGAGCTCCGCTCGTGCTCTCCATGGAAGCGGGAAGCTGGATCTGCTGAACGACATCTACGACACTCTATTATCAGCCGGGATATCTCTGGAACAATGGCATGCCGAAAGCGCAGACGGGCAATATGAATTCGTGCTTCCGCCCCTACCCCCTCTCGAGGCCGTCGATACGCTTCTCCAAGCCCGCGAAATCATCACCACGGTAGCTGCAAACCACTCGTTGCGCGCGACTCTCTTCCCGAAGCCCTTTGACAACCAACCCGGCACTGCAGCACACGTTCACATATCAATCACGTCGCGGAATGGGGACGATCCTGCCGTGTACGAGGCTTTCTATGCGGGTTTCTTGAAGCATCTTCCTGCCATCATAGCATTTACGTATAGCAAGCCAGCCAGCTTTGACCGTGTGCTCGACGGATTCTGGGCTGGTGGTCGTTGGGTAGCATGGGGGACGCAGAACCGGGAGACGGCGTTGCGGAAAGTCGCCGGCTCGCACTGGGAGTTCAAATCCCTGGACGGGCTCGCGAACATCTACCTGGCCATTGCGGCGATTCTCGCTGCAGGGACAGAGGGCTTTCTTGATAAGGAGAAGATGACGTGGGGGGACTGCGTGGCAGATCCTGTGAGTCTGAGTGCGAGTGAACGAGAAAAACTGGGAATTAGACAGATGTTGCCGAAAGATGCTAAGGAGGCTATGAAAGCGCTGGCTGATGATGAGGTTTTGATTGCATTACTAGGGAAGGCGTTGGTGGATAGATACCAGGAGGTTAAAAAGGCGGAGTTTGAGTTGCTGGCTGGCATGTCGGCAGAGGAGAGAAGGGAATGGATTATCGAGCGGTACTAGCAGAGCATGAAAGAAGATCTACTGATACAGTTTATCGAGAGACGTCGTATTAACTCTCGGGACCTATACTAGCAACGGGGGAAAACTTAGCTAACACATACACCGAGTATTAATACTGCCCGATCTTGGCCCCTCACTGTGCGAAGTACTCGCAGATCATCCCTATGCAAGGGTGTGAAGAACATCCTTACTCCTTAGCTTCTCGTGGCACCAGAGATAGCTACCTTCACACAACTTAGCTTCAATCCTAGCTGGCGGATATGGTTCTACATAGTGACATACTCCGTACCCCTCCCGCTGGAAAGAACTCTACATATAGTTCTGAACAAGAGGAGCTGGCTACTAATTCAATTCGACTTGCTCATACCTAGTTGCCTTCTTTGAATTCAGTGATACTGTAAGATGTCTATAGATTTACTGACAAGTATCATACGCTGAATTGCACCATATGCGCCCCGGATACTCCGCCGGCGCCCTGAAATAGGTAGGTATAACATTACCTGGGCTATCTACCTATTGTGCGTCTTGTGAATACTCCTGACACAGTTCACACAGAAAGGAAAAGACATTCTCCGGCCTTCTGTGAAAGTCCTCTCGGAATGCTTCAGTTTTTCCAGGTCAGAAATACCCCCGTGCTTGGACATTCTCACCATTTATTTCGTGAATTTATACTGCACGTTGACTTTGCTTTTGGTACGGAGGATCATTAAGCTACTATAATCGAAATATCTAATCTAGAAATAAGAGAGTCTTGTCTTTACTAATAATAACAGACAAAGAAATAGAATAGGTAAGACATGTTCACATGAAATCGTAAGTGCCGCACTTTAAGCCCATCACGCATAACTAGCCCCAGTCGCTATCGGCACCCCTTCCAGCACCGTAGACGACGTAGAAGTCGGCAGCGCGTCCAAATTCCCATCTTCCACGGAAGCAGAAGCAGAAGCAGAAGCTTCGGCATCGCTATCCACAGAACTAATACTACGCACTATAACAGCCCGACCCTCCAACCGGCCCACCCACAACAGCAACGGGATGCGCAGCTGTCAAGCAGGCAGACAACCCGGATTCCAAATTCCCGTTAAACGCACTGACGCAGAACTCATAGTTCCAAACCCCAGGAATCAGGTACGCGACTCCGTAGGTCGTGTGCGCGGTGTACGATTCATCGGTCTGCAGCACGGTGCCCGCAGTATCGCTTCTGCGATGCCAGAAATGGTACCCTACTGCGTCTGCCGAGCCGCACCAATCTAGCTGGATGGTTGTCGGGTCTGTCGACGTGATCTGGAAATTAGTAGGCGCGGGCGGAGTACCTTTACCCACAATCACGTCTCGGGACCCGACTGCAGTGCCGCGCCCGTATGAGTTGTAGCCGACTACTTGGATGATGTAGCGGTGGCCGGAGTTGAGGCTATCGAGATGCGCTGTGCTGGCGCTGGCTGGGATGCCGATCTCGCCGAGAAAGGCGCCGGATGTGCCGGTGTCGAAGAAAATGATGCCCCATTCTGTTACGCTGCTGTCGGTAGATACCCAGGATATGTCTATGCCGGTGGTCGTTGGACTGGTGGTGATGCTTGTTGGTGGCTTGGGGGTTTGCGGGTGCGCAATGGCTGAAGCTATTGCAGTCCAGTCTGACCTGGCATCACCATAGACCATGCGGACCTGATACCTATGGACAAGAACTCGGAGTCAGTATTTTTTGGTAAATTCGGTTTAGGGAGTCTGGGAAATCCGAAGCAGGATTTGAGAGAATATTGCAAAGGTAGCTGGATCTGAAAGGGATCTCAAGAGGTAAAAAATACGAGATATTCCTCCCAGAAGGGTTACTTACTCGTAGGTTTGGCCGTCAGTCGCCCCCTGGGTGTCGTAACGGTTTGGATTCTGAAGGACCGGGCTACCGAAACTACCACCAGCAGTCCTGCTCTCGAGCTCGTAACCAATCGCGCCGTACGTGTAATCCCACGTAACCGTTACTCCAAAGCCACTTGTCACAGCCTCAAAATTAGAGGGAACCGGAGTAGGCCGCACCGGGACAGTTGCAGGAACCGAAAGCGTGCTCGTGCCAATGGACAAGTTGCTCACTAATGCACTGGAGAAAGCCTGCGCGATCTGGTACTCGCCGAGGGCATTCGGATGCAGCCCGTCGTAGCCGGCAGGGCAGCCCGTCGTCTCGCACGCATAGTTCTCCCGCATGAGAACGGGTGCGATGGGCGAATCAGCCGTGCTCCATGACGGGATCGCTGATGCGAGTAACTGGTTGTACTGATCAATGTTTCCTGGTAGTTCATCACGGCCAGTGAGGGCTGTTCGGTGTGGTACATTTCCCAAAGCAAATTTGACATTTGACTTGGCAGCCCGAGCTTGTGTGACAAACGTGTTCATAGAATCCAGCAACCCCGCTGGACTGCTGATGGCGAAGCCGAGATCGTTGAACCCAAGGAGGACTAAGATCAAGTCCGGCTGGTATGTGGTGACAATGCTGTTGATTAGATCTTTGTCTTGTGCTGCTGCACGTCCCCAAGCACCATAGTGATCAGAGTCGAAGTTTTGATCAACATCAAGGGCATAGCCTCCAGTGGTTATAGCACCGCCAGTCGGCGTGAGTGGTGGATCAGCAGGAGGTGTTGTGCCTTGAAGCTGTGGAGGTTGAGGTGCGGTATAATTATCCTGGGGTCTTGTTCCCTTCCAAGGACTGACAAAATCAGCCGCAACCCCTATGATACGTATTAGTAGTGCATGTATTTATTTGTCAGACACAACAAGAGATAGGTAGATAAGGTACCTTGGCTTTGGAACCATTGCCATATCCGGTATCGCCAGGTGTAGTCTCCTTCGTGACCTTGAGTAATGGAGTCTCCTACAATTAAAACACGCAAAGCGACTGCTTCAGCGCTCATATTACGCGTGCTGAGTGAGGGAACTGGAGCTGCTCTTGCCACCGCTGAAGGCACGAAGATGACAAACGCGGCTAGCAAAAGCGTGAAGTTCCCCAGTAGCGACATGGTTCTTTCTACAGTAGCTCGCTTACGAGTACCTTACCCTTACTTCAGGCCAGGGATCTATGAAAAGCAACAAATTCTACAGTAGTTGAGCTTCACTTTCTCGAGAGGGATTCCCGTGCAACTTATACACATCCTTCATATTCCGTGCCACAATCCCTCGATGAAATGAGACTGGTCTACCTGGATGTATTATATGGTAAGGCACAGTATGGACCAAAATAAAAAGTGGCCTGCCAAGCTCTTTACCGGTGAAAAACAATTGGCCGTATGTCTCGTACGGCTCGCACAACAACGTCGTTCAGTTGCACCACTAGATGCCAGGTCAAGTACCAAGCGAGCGCCACCAAAGTGCCAATATTTCTTCTTTGGGCGAAAACGGAAAGGCAGACTGATAAGTCGATAGCATGATGGAGATTATAAAGCTGATTTGATGAAGTTTAGTCAGTCAGATAAGAATAACTTTCCCAGGGAACCATATTCTTTTCAGCCTAACAACAGCCTCATCCGTTTTCGCCCCCTGTACTACAATATGCTGTACTCTCATCTCAACCAAGGCATACTACCATACTCATACCAAGACTTGGCAACATCAAGGCGCATTTCCCGGCAATCTCTCAAGATGCCCAAAAACTCATCTCGACCCTCAACCGGGAACACCTGAGGCGTACCCTCCAAGCTCCTACTGCTGCCTATCCTCCACGTCTCCAGCGCTCTATGTCGTCTTTGTAGAAAATGCTCCGCCACCACCGAAAGCGCGCTGTCTTTCAGAAGAGTGTTGACTCTGAACCCAAGCAAGTGCTCTTTCGCATCCGCCCATCTATGCTGCCGACACGCCGACCGCCAAGAATCAGCCCACGAAGCGCGCAGGCGCGTGAAATCGAGTTGGAATTTCATATCTGCGCTCAGCAGGGTTCTCGTAACGAGGGTCCGCTCCTCCTCGCCCACGAAATTATCTACGAGGTCGAAGAGCGTCTCGTCCGTGCCCCACCAGCGCGTCCAGTTCATAACTGGGATGGCGGTGCAGCAAGTGCTGCTCTGCACAAAGTGGTGAAGGTATCGCAGGTGTTCGCCGCCGGGTTTCCAGTTCCTGAGGAGGATTTCTAGGGCTTGCGGTTCGAGTTTCGGGGTGTTGGCTAACAGGTGCAGACTCGAGGCGTCGGGACGCGTGCTGAAGAACATCAGGGAGGAATTCACGAGGAGGTCTTCTTCGCCTGTGGACCTGACTTGATCTCCTTCTATGGATGTGCCGTGTGGGGGTTTCATAGCAGGTGGCACCGTGTGACTGCCTGGGGCCGGACTGGAAGGGGTGAGTGGTTGTTGGAGAGTTGATGAATTTTCGGTTTGCGAAGACCACTTCGATTGGGAAGATGAATCTGAGGACAGACTCGCCATTCCACTGGTTGTTACCACTGCTTCAGTGGTACTGAGATATAAAATAAAATATATGTGGTCCTAGAATAGAAGCTTTAGAAGCCTCCCTCTACTCAAGCTCAGGTTTTTGATGAGCTGTTCGATCCAAACTTTCCAGTCAATTGCCCTGGCCATTCAACCAAAAGAGATACAAAGCACCAGACTATATAGCAAAGGTCAGCATCTGAAAACTTCTAGCACGATACTTACCTTACGATACGTTGTTATGTTATCTATCTATCGCCTTGCTTGTGAAACCATATCCCCACGCTGTACGTACTCGTACAGTACATGGCATCTCACGATAGATAGCCCCTCGCCTCGCCTCGCACGTCACCTCGCCTCGCACCACCACCTCACCTCACACTCCAAACACAGCACAGCACAGCACAGCTCATTGTCAATATACATTGTTGAGATGCAAAATTAAAAGTACCTACAAGGTACCTACCTACCTTGCGTATTCCCTCCTCATCAATTTCCCACCGCTCGAATACCATACCATACCATACCATGCCAGGCCATACCTTTACGTCCCACAAGAAAACGCATACGCATGCCGTAGTACAGTATACAGTACCCCGAAAAACGATATCCCGAGAGTACGGTATGTACCGTAGCCCTGTGGATTCCGGCACCGGGGTGATCTGCTGCAAGTTAGTCTGCAACTTTATCTCTGTGCTGTCAGTTGTCGATTCGCTACCCGGCATTCGTCCTTTCATACTCTACAAGGCACCTACCTCTCTGGTAGTCTCCTATACAAGTACCGTGTATTCTTCCTCCCATCCATGCAAGTTAATCTGAAACATAAGGCAGCTAGGGAAGGGGAAGCAAGCTGTTGTCTTATCTCAGTATAATTACTTATGTTTGTCTACCTTCTCCAATGAGAAAGCCGCGTGGCGGGCCATGTCGATGGATCCTCGACAAGTCGTACGAAGCACTGTAAGGAGGTACGGTCATAAGAGAACTTGCCTCTGGGTTCTACCCTAGATCTCGTACGTAGATCTCCGAATCAAATAAACTTTACCGGACTTATTCCATATGCAGCATGGGGAATCCCCACCCCACCCCACCCCACCCCATCCCCATCCCCATCCACTTAGCACACTACGCTACACTACTCACTCATACAGGAAAGGCTATTTAAGTGTACTGTACCTACCGGGCCATCCATCCTCGCCCGGACCTTTCATCTAGAGCGGCCGAGGCCGCCGTGCATCAGATCAGATCAGTGCCAGGTCTAGGTCGAGGTCTAGGGCCGGGTATCAGATCCGCCTAGATCCCATTGTATAATCCATCCTGGCATGACTCCGTAGTCTTACGAATACCCGTCTGTAGAGTCATGGATACCCTTACTCCTTACTCCGTACTTCACCTGTCATGTCACATCACCATGTGGCGTGATTTAATTATAGGCTGACGGCCCGCCTGGCTGGAATTAAGGTTCACGTTTCACCACAATTATTAATCGATCCAATCGCAAGTACCTGGTACTTAGTTAAGTATGGTGACACATTGATTCCTCTGTCACCAAAGCTGCTCTGCTACCACCGAAGGGGAAACTCTGCGGGTACCTGCTTCCCTTCCCCGAGACAAGAGTCACAGAGATCTAGATCTGGCTGCGTCGAGTTATACTTTCCCTAAATCCATTATGATTCGTCTAGATCTTTGTTCTTCTCACTTTGACAGCTGATCGATGAGTAAGCAAGATATTGAACTCATGACAAGCTCTTCTTGCTTGCCACTAGATTGCAGTCAAACAAAAGCACTATCTAAGATAGGGAAGGGTCAATTTCATCGTTGAAACAAATTCGCTAAAATTTCAAAAGCTCCCTCCACGCTAATATCAAGATCAACTCCTTTTCAATGTTCCATATCTGTACGTATACTAATCAAAAAAACATAATCCCAAAACGAAGCACTAGTGATTCAATGCATGCGATCGCCATGAGAGATCTACCTTCAAATTTCGCTCCTGGAACTCCCCCAATATTGCCATATATTGCTGCTGGAGCCTGTTTCTTGGCATGTGATCCCTGGTGTCGTCTTTTCGTGGGTGCTTGGCAATCTCAGCATTCAAAGCCCCCAGAAGTCGTTCACCGACGAGATGAACCGTAGCGTCGAGAACAAGTCTGACTGCCGATAGAGACATAGCCTTTCCAAGACGAATCTCAACCTCCTTGGGGTCGATCTTTTGTTGAAAGTCTTCCCAAGATGGTGACGTGTAGAGGGACATCCACCATTTCAAAGTGTCCGGCAAGTAGCAGCGATCGGGATTGATAGTAGAGAATGTCATCAAAAGGGCCTCGGTAAATAGCATCATTTCGTTTTCTTGAGCCTCCTCGCGGAGCACGTCAAAGAGGTTGTCATCAGAACTCGTAGATTCGAAGATGAAAACTCCATCACTGATCGCGCCGTCCCGTATTAGCAAATCATGAGCAAAACTTTTGAAACCTTTCAAAGATCTCCACTTGCTCAACAAGGCTCTGACGGCACGCCGAGTAGCAGACTGGGGGTCTTTCTTCTTGAAACCAACAAGGTAATCCCGAGATTCTGATTCAGTACCAGGGGTGGCGAAATGCAAACCACTAATTGATTGTGGTCCTGAGGTGAGTGACGAGTGTGTTGAGACTTCGCTGTCCACGGAGCCTAGCTTTGTTAGAAGAATCAAGTACTCCATTGGAAAAAGTCCTACCTTCTCTGGTGTTTTGAGGGCTATCTTCGAAGTCTTCGAAGTCTCCAGCAGGATAGTCCGAAATACTTTCGAGTTGAAGGTATTTGTGCCGGTAATCTTGAACATTTAAGCTCGCGGTACTTTGGTGTTTGTTAGATTGACCGTTGCCTTCTCCAAGTATCTCCAAGGCGTGTTTGTAAAAAGAGGGATGTAAGTTGAGTGTCGAGTGATGGAACTCTCCAAGAATCTTCAGGTAGCTTCGTCGGCACATTTCTACTTCGTTCGGACCATTTGGATCATCGGGAATAATAGACGGAAGATCACTATCCAACCCTAAGAATCTTATTCTTTTGATGAGGCGTTGCAAGAGGCGTTCTGCAATAACCACGCGCGCGCAGTCCAGAAACAAGTGGCCGGCAGTAGAAGAAATGACATTCTCCTCGTCGAATAACAATTCCTTGGCATCATCCAGATTGGTCGCCTGGCAAGCTGCGTGCCATTCTAATAACCACGGTGCGTCGGGGTGGGGGCCGTTGACCAAATGTTGGACCGATAGATCGGCGTGCAGCAGTATCTTCCCAACGTCGGGCTGCTCTTCAGAAGGAACAAGATCCTCGATCAACTGAAACAACAGAGGTCTGCCATCGTCCGTACAACGCATTACATGTTTGCGGTGCTCTTGGTCCTGAAGAAGTTGCGTAAGCGCTTTCAGATACTCTCCACCGGGTTGCCACTTCCAGAGTAGGACTTCAACGGCCCAAAATATGGCTTGCGGCCCTTGTATCAAAGACAAAACCTCGGAAGCTTTCATCTGTCTGGAAGGTAACAGTATACCTGCCTCGGAAAATAAGGTATCGAGTGATTGCGAAGTTGGAGAAGACGAAGACCCCACGCTGCTTGTCGAGGCGGGAATGGGAGAAGGAGAGACCTCTTGCACCGGGTTGGCTTGACCGGCACGCTCTTTCCTTGTTCTATACTTTCGAAGCGTCCATTGGTCGATTCTCACACGGTATGCGCGTGTTCTACGAGGACTTGGTTAGTATATACTTCATCTCGAGGATGAAGGACTGCATACGTCGCGCGGAAGCCATGGCGGGCTTTCAATATATCTCGCACCTCCTCTACAGATCTCCCTTCGTCGATATGCAGCTTCTTGATCTCAGCCTTATGCGCAGCCCAGTCGTTGGACATGATTTGAGGCAGGGAAAAGGCAATCAGACCTAGGGATGGGGATTAACCGTTGGGTTTGATGCGGGGAAAGGGCATGGAGGACAGTGATGGCGATGATGATGGCGAAGGCGACGGCGACACCTTCCCAACCGGACAAGACTTGTTCTTGTACATGAGTGATGTCGGCCCAGATGCTCACACAGTAGCAGAAAGTAATAGTGCAGGGTAACAGGGTAATATTCCGGCCGCGGCTGCGTTCCGGGGGCGCTTGTGCATGCACGTAAGTGTGAACAAGGAAATAGCCAACCGACAGACAGGATGGATCTGGTGGGATGGGGGTGGGAAAAGGTCCAGTAGTGAGTGAGTGGTCAGCGAATTCAGACCAGCTAGGATTGGTAGGATGGTGGTGATCTTACGGAGGGAAGACTGGGACTGGGTAGTCTGGTACAGTACGGTACAGTAGCAAGTACAGTAGCAGTCGCAGTAGCAGTAGCAGTAGCAGTAGCAGTACCTCCCTTCGTAAGCAGTGAGAAAACGGCACGACTCTCAGTAGGGGGGAAGGGGAAAGGGGTGGGGACGGGATGTCGATCCGGTGAACCCCGGTGGACACTCTGACCACTCTGACCACTTTCACCAACCCTGCACCTGTTTACTTGACAAGGGGCATGGCATGGCATGCATGGTACAGTACGGAGTCTAGGAGTATGACATGGAGCAAGAGCAAGGAGCAAAACGAGGCCCGAAGGTCACGGGTCACGGGCTGGCTGAGCGGCGGCGGGGCGGTACGGAGGTACGGAGTACGGCATGGCATCTTCGGCCATCCATACCTACCCTACCCATCTACACATCCATGCCCGCGGACACCAAGCCGAAGAATCCTAATTTAAAGGGGCGACCCGTCCCGTATAGTAGTATACTTCGTAGTATAGTATAGTATAGTACGGAATACGGAGTACGGTACGGTACTACGGATATATGGCGGGTATTGCACTCGCGGCCACTCACTCGCACGGCGCATCAGGAGTCCCGAGTCCTGGACCGTTATTGCTGTTGTTCCATATATCTGAACCCCTTTTAAACTTCCACGCTGTTGCTAACTTTACTCGTAAGGCATTGTATTGAGAACGGCTCGCGAGAC